TAACATAATCCCAATGCAGTTTTGAAATGACAACTAGGGTTGATATTATGATAATGCTGCAGATTGTAAGAAGACACCATAACCAATTTTCGTGGTTATGGTTATGGTGGCCGTGTTCTGGTGGCATTTCTGTTGCCCTCTGTCTGTTTTATCATCTTTAACAGTATCCCTTGTGTCAGTCAGTGGTTCTGTGAACATCTTGGAAGTATTTAGCAGGTTTTAAAATATCAAAACTTAATTTTCTTTGTTGGCTCTGATTATTCTCTGTAGTAAAAGTTCTTGGAGTCTCCAGGACAAACTGGCCAATAGTAGGAAGGTGGTGGTGCATGCTGTGGTGGGCTGGAAAAAATAATTCCCTAAATTTCTCTAATATAACCAGTGGCGTACACATGACCCATGGGGCCCCGGTGCGAAAATTGATCCGTGGGCCCCCCCCACCTGGTCGCAGGGGTTACAGGGCTGCGACCCCTGCGACCGCGGTATGTACGCCAGTGCATGCAGATGCACACACACTTAAAGGACCACTCTAGGCACCCAGACCACTTCAGCTTAATGAAGTGGTCTGGGTGCCAGGTCGAGCTAGGGTTAACCCATTTTTTCATAAACATAGCAGTTTCAGAGAAACTGCTGTGTTTATGAATGGGTTAAGCCTTCCCCTATTTCCTCTAGTGGCTGTCCCATTGACAGCCGCTAGAGGCGCTTGCGTGCTTCTCACTGTGATTTTCACAGTGAGAGCACGCCAGCGTCCATAGGAAAGCATTATGAATGCTTTCCTATGTGACCGGCTGAATGCGTGCACAGCTCTTGCCGCGCGTGCGCATACAGCCGACGGGGAGGAGAAGAGGAGGATCGGAGGAGGAGAGCTCTCCGCCCAGCGGTGGAAAAAGGTAAGTTTTACCCTTTCCAGAGCCGGGCGGGAGGGGGTCCCTGAGGGTGGGGGCACCCTCAGGGCACTATAGTGCCAGGAAAACGAGTATGTTTTCCTGGCACTATAGTGGTCCTTTAAAGGACCACTACAGACACCCAGATCACATCAGCTCAATGAAGTTGTCTGGGTGTCAGGTCCCTCTAGTTTTAACCCTGCAGCTGAAAACATAGCAGTTTCAGAGAAACTGCTATGTTTCACTGAGGGTTAATCCAGCCTCTAGTGGCTGTCTCACGGACAGCCGCTAGAGGAGCACACTGAACGTCCATAGGAAAGCATTGAGTAATGCTTTCCTATGGGCGGTTTGAATGCGTGCGCGGTCGCATTCGGAGCTGAGAGGCTGAGGGATCCTCAGCACCAAGGGAGTCCGGCGCTGGAGAAAGGTAAGTGCTGAAGACACATACACTCTCACTTACAGACGCATACACACTAGCTAACAGACACACACATTTACTGACAGAGATACAGTCAGCGACAGACATACATACACACTCACTTACAAAACATACACTCTTATTGACAAACACACACTCACTAACAGACATCAAACAGACTCACTAACACACACACTCAGTAAGACACACACAGTAACACACTAACACTCACTAGCAGACACACACACACTGACACACACACTAACACTCACACACACTAACACACACTAACACTCACACATGATTTTTTTTTTTTTTTAATATAATCCCCCCAGCCTCCTTACCTCTTGGAGTGCTGGGGGGGATTATTCCCTGAGGTCCAGTGGGGCTCCTGGGCGGGCAGGCAGGCGGGCGCGCGAGGGAGCACTCAGCGCTTCCTCTTCAGCTCCCTCGCGCGCCGCGTAGGGATGCCGGCGCCGGAAGATGACGTCATCTTCCGGCTCCGGTATCATTGCGGTGCGCGAGGGAGCTGAAGAGGAAGCACTGAGTGCTCCCTCGCGCGCCCGCCTGCCTGCCCGACCGGCCACCCGGTGACAGCAGGGCCAGCCTCGGGGGGCCCTGGGGTGGTCGGCTCCTGGGCCCCCCAGGGGAAGAGGCTGGCCCTGGGCGTACATACCGGGTCGCAGGGGCGGCCGGGCCCCCTGGTGGGCCGGGCCCGGTCGCAGTCGCGACCCCTGCGACCCTGGTATGTACGCCAGTGAATATAACCAATGGTCAAAGCTCTCCCTGGTGCAGAAATATGATTGTCAGTGAAAAATGTGTAACATTTCATATGGTGTCTCACCATTTGTATCGTCAGGTATGTTGTTAATGCCCATCTGTACCATAGGAATAAGTAGATACCAGTGGGTGGGGGCAAGCAACTAGTAACTTGGTTAACAGTCATTTCACCTCAGCATTTTTCCATTCCACAACCCCACTAAAGCATAGAACTTAGCAGGTCTAACCAGACAGATATCTTAGCCATAATTTTATATAGTCAGTAAGAGATCCTCTATTTAAAATATATAAATAATTGAGAATACAATATAAAATAAGGATTGTCTTGGAAGCAATAAAGTTTTGTCTTTTAGATATTTTATTAAATAAAAATATAAATATAGACATATAAAATCAATTACGATAATTTATAGCAGAGTTTATAAGATTAAACTATATGCTTGCAATATCATTAATAGATTAATATACCCTCCTGAACATGTTATCATGTCAGCCTCTCTGTCATTATTAGATGGAGCAGCGTCTGTCTCCAAATATCTTCTCTCTGTGTTAATATTTAAAAGGTAAACATATTTATACCTTAGGTGTCTTCATTTTAGGGTTACTGTAGTTCAAAAATGAAAAAGTAAAAAAATATATTTTTGTTCATTCTAGGGACCTCCCTTAACTTGGCATAAATAGAAGGCTATAACTAAAACATAGGGGTGCACATGTCATGGGAAATTCCCTGACTTAGGTCAAGATGGCATCTTAAAGTCTAAACATCTTTATCTATTTAGGGTTACTGCAGTATTTTATGTACTGAAAGAGTCGTAGCATAGCCTTGAAGCTTGTTTATGCATTATTGTTATTGTATTTCGTCTGGGACAAAATGGCGTAAACATATTATGCACTGAAAGTAGGTAAAAGGTTATTGCTTAAAAATTTTGATAGGCAAATTATTAGTAAGAATGGTGTCAACAATATGCGCTGTGGGCAAAATAGATGTTTGACCTGTGGGTACATCTGCCATAATATGTCCACTTTTAAATCGTATAGGGGAGAAGAAATTTTTGTGGTGACCCATAGGATTACATGTAGTACCTCATTTGTTGTATACCTTTTGAGTTGCCCCTGCAATCAGCATTATGTAGGACAGACCACTAGACCTCTTAAATTTAGATTTAGAGAGCACAGACTGGCCATATTGAATAAAGATAGGAGATCTTCGGTTGCACGACACTTCGAGTTGTTTCACAATAGTGACCCAGCGCTGATTAAAGTGATGGGAATAGTGTATATACCTCCCACTAGGGATCCTGCTGTCAGGAAAAGACACCTTACCAGGGCTGAGTCCTTATGGATATTTAAATTAGATTCCCTCACTCCAAATGGCTTAAACGAGGAGTTAGAACTTTTCTAGTTTGGGCCCTTTGGGTTGTCATGGGGTAGGCTTCGTAATTTTTTTTTTTTAGCTATATACATATATTTGTGTGTGCTTATACATGGATAATTATATATCGTATATTGTATATGTTTTTCATGCACTTTTTGGCTATTATGTTTTATATTTTATTCAGATATTTCACTGTTAAATCATTTCTTATTGTTCCTCAGGATGAGGTTCAAGGTCTTGGGTTTAGTACTGTTGCTTCAAATGATGGGGGTTGATGTCTATTATGAGGGGGCGTTTAGAGTCTTTTCTGACTTATTTGTGTGTATATATATATATTTTATTTCCTTTTTACTTTTATTTTTAGCCATATTGTTCTGGGTTAATGTGGCCCTAGCTGGTCTGTTTAAAATATGTGTAGCTGCATGATCGAGATATATCGATATGGGTGACAAGTGCAGTGTACCTATTTTGTATTTAGATTCCTCTATTTCTTACCTGGTTTAGATTCTTGCTGTCTAATGGAAATTATCATTCTTTTATATTATTTAGTTAAATTTTTAACAGAGTTTCTTAAGCTGGTATTATACCAGATTTTGTAGAATTATATTGCAAAGTGTCTTCATTTTTATTAATATGTTTGTTAAATTGCTAATATTACAAGTGCCATTTGTGTATGTTCTAATGTTTACTAGGTTTCACTCTCATCGATTGATTACCTGATGTGACGAGACCAATCTCGCCACATTGCATTAGAGAAGCCTGGTTGCTAGCCTGTTGCCTTTTGGATTATGGCCCCATGTTAAAAGACATCTTTTTCCCGTGCAGAAAAGGCTTATTCGTGTCTATTCTGCCCGGTGTTTGGTAGATTCAATCTACCAAACTAACACACGAATGACGGGACCACCTGGGAGCTGGAGTGTGTCGTCAATTAACCCCCCAGAAGCTGCAGCTTAATTGACGAATACTGGGTGGCCGCCATTCGTATACTGAACACGAGGTCGCGGCTATTTTAAACACGCGAACGCACAGCGGTGTTCGACACCCAACTCATGGAACTGAAAACGGATATAGTTTGGCGTGAACACCGCTGAAGCCGCCGACCTCCCTTCTTGTTCGGTAGAAGTGCACGAACGGCCCTATATTCGGTAGTTGTACCTGACTACACCATACCCCAGATAGGAATCCCATGGAGCTCATGGCGATTGAACTGTGTGGTCTGAGCGCCATTCGCTTAATAATGTGCGCTCAGACCTGAGCTATCTGGGGATATGTTAAATGTATATCTTTATTGTAACCTTTCCAACATGGGGGATTTTAACAGTAATTCCTATATTGGTATCCCCACGTGCATAATGGCGATTTGCCTTTGTCCTAGGAGATAATTGAATTACTTGTCAATTATCTCCAGGGCAGAGGGGAGGAAGCCAGGATGCATTGTGGGATTATAATGTGACTGTGTGTCCTAGATTGCTGCTTGTCTGTCCTTTGTCACAGTCTCCCATTTGGTCCCCTAGGGGAGTGTCCACCAGGTGGGAGACCTGCATAAATACTGGGCAGGTAGCCCTCATTAAAACAGACCACTGCTTGACCCTCAACACGGATCCTTGTCTCGTCTTTGGGGGTATTTACTGTATGCGGATAGAGACTGATTGCTAGGAGTGTAAGCCGCTTGCGTGCTTTTCCTATTCGTCTGCTAGCAGCTATTCGTATGGTTCCAGTTCGGGAGTTTGGAGTGCTATTTTGTATCCAGTTCGGGAGTTTAGAGCATTCCCTTATATGCGGTTCGTGAGTTTGGTGTTCTGCAGTAGCTGTGCCTGTATATCTGGAAGGGGAAGATCGCCTAAACGGTTTTTAACCTATTGCAAAACGGTCCGTTACACCTATAATTATCCACTCCGGGGATTACCTGTTGGTTCTTTCTTGAGCAGGTATTTAAACCCTGGGTGGGGGGGGGGGTTTACGTACATGTACTGATCTTGATAAAGTCCCACAGCTCGGGACGAAGCGCGTCGATCTGCGGGCCGTTGGCTGTTCCCTTCTTTCCAGTCCCCCCTGGGTTTGACGTTCAATCTATGCTATTTGGATCTGCCCGGTAGTATTTTCATCTTGCCGACCCAGGGAAGTCTTCTGGATGTTTGTTGTTTTTTTAATATTATTATTTTTTCTTTTGGTTATATTTACCTCTGGTGGGGGCCCACACCGAGGTCAGGTACTTTTATATTTATTATTATTATTGTGTATACTGGTATTTTGATTTTTTGTGTTTCATTACGCTATTTGTTGTATCCACCCTATCTCCACTTAGTCATTGATCTTTAATTTTCTATTGAGGTCTGTGATGGACCCGCTGGCACTCCGACCGAGTACCTCCGCCAATCGATGCTCCTAGTGCTTGCCAAGGACTCCAAGCACTCCAACCAACACCATCAGCACTGCAGACTTATCCTATCCCCCAAACATGAGCCAGGGCTTCAAGAAAGGGTCAAGCAGGTCTGTTTAATGAGCACACAAAAGCAACAGCACTCATGCAGCAAAACAACTCCTCCTCAGAGGAAAACAAAATGACAGTTAAAAAGAGTCAGACAGAGTTTGAAAATATGACAGTTATTAAGGGTTTAAACTGGTGTTCTAAGAGGGGGGGTCAAACTAAGCCCATAAAACAGGGGTTTTCTTCACACTCTGCATCCGAAGTGCATGTCAAAACTGCAGATCCTTTGTCAGAGCATTTAAAGGGCTAGAACCAGTCTAATAAAATCCACTATGCACAAATAACGTATTTAAAGTGCAAAACCTCCCAGGGACCATAGTCATACGGCAAGAGGCTGGTAATTAGTCCTCTCCAGGCACAAGAGGCGAAGGGCACATTGTCACAAGGTCTTTTCACATTTAATGGCTATTATTTAGTGAAGCTAGTTAGTGGATACATTTAGTTATACATTTTGTTGCTCTCTGTAGTGATACATTTGAATTTATTTGTCTGGTTAGATTTAACAGTGGAGATTGGAATCAGCCCCCTGCTTATTAAATTTTTTATATATGTGATAATTAATAAAAGGCTTTGTTAATTATTTTATTTCATTTGTTTAGGTTTATATTTATAAGCACACACACCCAATTTTCTATTTCTGAGTGTACAACTCATCAAGTCGCTATTTTTGTGTGTCCGGCTTTTATATAAGTTTTCTTAAAAAAACATGTATGAAAAAACAATATGTTCCATTTCTAACACCTTGTCAGTTTGCAATATATCTTAAAGACAAAGTACACAGTTTGAGAAATACAATATTTGCATTTGCCCATAACAGTGGCTTATATAAACCACAGAGGGGGCACAAGATCAGTGGGTCTTTGTTTGGAGCCTCTAGATCTTTGGTCTTGGGCTTTAGCAAACAAAGTTCAGGTTTACGCAGAATACTTTCCAGGAGAGATGAACAAGCTCACAGATTCTCTCTCTTTCTTGAGTTTATCTCTGGTAACGATTCAATTAAAGATTGCTCTATTTCAATTTTGGCCAGAGACAAGTAGATCTGTTTGCATCCCAAACGTCTGCACAATATCCCAGGTTTGTCTCCAGGATTTGGACAAAGGGAGCTTGGAAAATGGATGCACTGTCTTTCCAATAGACAGATGTTCCAGACCCTTATGCCTTTACCCCTCCATCTTTACTGATGAAAGTGTTGTAGAAGATCCACATGGGCAAGGTACAGAGTTTAGTTCTCATTTACCCATTATGGAGCTCCAGACCCTGGTACATTTTGATCCATTAGTTAGTCAAGGGAACCAAGATCCCAATGGGCATGACTGTGGACTGCTTTTAGGGAACCAGCGATCTTTTGCTCAAGCTTCCGCAGCTGATGTGGATTGCAGCCCTGGTAGGTTAACACATCCCCTTTTGTCAGATCAGGTCCTGGACATCATTAATTCATCTTTAAGATGCAGAACTATGGTAAGATACAGAAAGATGATTGAGGAATCCAAAGAATGGGAGTTTTCTTTTCTATCTACTTCTCAGGGATCTGATACCAATTCATTAGATTTAGAATTTCTTACCCTTAAGTTCCATTCTGGTTTAGCGTTCAGTACTATCAAGACCTATGGATCTGCTTTAAATTTCCTTATCCCTAACCTTACTCAGGATGCCCTGTATTTGAGATTACTAAAAGAGTTATCAGTCTGCCACCCATCTACTCCACATTACACATCTACTTGGGATGTAGACCTCTTATTAAATTTCCTTAATTCTTTGGATAATGCTAAAATGTATTTAAGATGAACTGCTATTAAGTTGGCTTCTCTGCTGTCTTTGGCTTTGGCAGCTAGAGGAGCTGAGTTAACACAAATCCATATTTCAGAACCGTGGTTGTCCCGGACCACAGGAGGGTTCCATATTGTACTAAAAGGGAGACAAAAAACATCCCATATTTCCCCAAGCCTGGTGGAATTGGATTTGGTTCAAGATCCTTTTGAACCTAGCATATGTTTAGTCAGTCTGTTACAATCGTACCTTGACCTTTTTGTGCGTTTAGAAATTATATCAGTCAATTATTTATTACATCAAGGAATCCCTTTCGTCCAGCCAAGGTTAATACAATTAGAGGTTGAATACTTTCCGCCATGTCTTCGGCTGGTATTGAT